TAGTTTTAGGACTTGTGTGGAGAACAGATCACATTTTAAGTCATATTTATGCAGAAATACTGGGAATTTAAAAGGGTTCGCAAACTTTTAAGCACCGCTGTAGATCTTTGGGTTTGGTTTGGTTTTCTTTGGGTTTGGTTTTTTGGGTCATTAACTGAGTGGCCTCAATAATGCCTGCATAAAATAGCCAGTCCTACTTGTTTAAATCCCTCTGCCCCTTCTTGGAAAGCCAGTGAACACCCATCATTGCTATTATAGCTGAAATCAGAGATGAGGAAGCAAATAATTAGATCAAGTTTATTAGCAAGTTTTTATTCCTAATACTCTAATTTGAAAAAGGACACTTAGGACATTTACCACAAAATAACAAGAGACAGGTTTTTAAAATCACTTTCAAAATAGACAAGGTTAAATCTTCTGAATTCAAATGTAAATGTATTCATTTTTTGTGTCAAGTGTACACAGTACAATGTAGCCTCATTAAGAAAGGGAACATGCTGTTTGCATGACACACTGACCACAAACTAGCCAACTGCATTTTGGTCCAACGTGTCACGCAAAACCAGACAGTGTGGTTAGCTTATAGTTCAGTGTGTTGTAAAAAACAACAGCAGCAATGGGTATGACCGTATAGTCTAACCTGTAACCATGACTTAGTTGTGCAGATTCAGCTAGTAGATTGGATTAGACTCTTAGTGTGAGAATCAGTGGCATAATTTTCCAGCAAAAATTGAGAGCTGAAAATCAGCATGAGAAAGGAAAGTAATTCTAATTAAGAAAGGTTTGGGGAAGTAACTACAAGGGATCCTGAAGGACAAGAAGTATGCAGGGTGTACCAAAAGCCCAGTCCTATAGGCCAATCACAATACAGTATGTTTCTGATTAATTTGACTAATTGGCAACCAGTTCATAAATATTCTTTTAGATAGGTTTGTTTTGAATGCAACTGTTCAGTGGCCTAACAATGAGGACAGTCCAGCTCTACATTCACTACCACTTAAACACTCAGACCATCCGTAAGCCATACTCTGATTTAGTAGATACCTCCCCCTGCCCTCTTCTCAGCTGAATTGCCTTCACAGGGTTGTTGTGGGGCTGAACAGTGCCTTAGAAAAACAGGCTATATTATTGGATTTATTAGAAATAATGGCTCCCTTGCCCGATTACAGTCTTCCCCAACAGATGCTTTGTATATGTGTCTGACCACTTCTGTTACAAAATTTTAAAATGTAAAATAAGTAACAACAATCTCTATTGTATCCCAGAGTCATTGGGAGTCAGGCAGAATACAAGTTTAATAAATATTTTTTTTTAAAAAACCACATTGGCTAGGAAGGATAGGAACTGTTCCCCCTGCTTTTTTTTTTTAAAAAGAAAAACCAACAATCGTTGGGGGGGGGGGGTTGTTTTATATCCACTCCAAGGAAGCCACACATTTTACAGAATTCACTAAAGAGAGAAACCGCCCTTTTCCCTCTGGTTGACTTTTAGGAAAATAGGAACAGGATTACAATAATGCCTCCCGGTTCAACGTTCCAATATTGCAAAAGGTCTAATTTTGGAGAGAAGACTGAGCCTTGTGGGGGCAGAGAACAAGCGCATCCAAAAAGATCAATGTAACCATCAGTTGAAGGCTGAAGAGAAATTGGAAAAGATGGGGACCAGAGGGGGAAGAGCACATTTGCAAGCACCACCAAGGAAGGGAGATCAAGGTCCCATCTGGAAGGGCGAGAGGCCAAAAGCACAGAGCAGATGGAGCCTGGTTGTGACAGCTGGTGGAGATGCGCTTTCATGTGTAAAGTTTGCTCCACAGAGACCTCGGTCTATGAGCTTCCAAGGCAGCCTTATGTTAACTGCCCGCCCTTGTCCCGTACTAGGAAACAGCCTGAAGGAACTCAAAGGAGTACACCTGGTGCAGCTCTTGGGGGCTCCTGCTTAATTAAAACAGGGGGCTTTTTAAACATTTTTAATGCAGGTCTTAGAGGCCCGAGTTCAGGGAAGAATGGCTGGGAAGGAAGAGAAATGAGTTTCTTTAGCAACACAGTCCAACTATTCCTCTAGTACCTTCAAAAGGCAACAGAATTAAGCGTAAAGACGGTGGTGAAAAGCCTCATCTGAAATAGAACAGCATCAATGATTGCAAGCAATCGTCTTTACCCTTCCCCACATTTGTTTCCACCATCAAGGGACTAAATATTAGGCAGAATATCCATGTGACTTTTGTCATCCTTCAAGTACACTATTTATCATCAATAACCATAGGACTTTTCTCTTCGTGTATTGCCTCTTCAATGCTGCAGGTGGCAGCACAGGCAACCTTGGCTGATCTCAAAAAACTGAGCTCACAGCCAGTGAGTATCTGGATTACAAGCTCTCGTTATCCCAGGGCTGTAAATCAGATTAGGAAGGGGCTTTATATTGTTTTGAATTAGAAACAGAAAATGGCAAACCATTTCAATGAAGCATATGAAGTGCCTATGTGGTCAGCTGGCATCAAGCTACACTGAGGGAAGATGTGATCTTTCTATGCTTCTGTAGCTCTGCCTCTCTTTAAGATACAGAAAGGGAACTTTCAAAGTTGCTGTTCACCAACGTTAGGAAGACATACATTCCCCATCGTCTCATGATTAAAGACTTTTAGGAAATTATTTCTTTAACATTATGAGCTTCATCAGCAAGTCCTGAATCCCCTTATCAATTCACCCTTTTAAAAAAGGATAGGTGAATTACTACCCTATTTTCATACCAAACAATCCAAGCAGCAAATGAGCATTTTGGGAACTAGCCACTGCAGATCCTTTCTGTGCCCAGCCAATTCTCTGTATGATCTTGCAGCCAGGAAGGGAGGAGGAGGAGGCGGCGGCGGCAGACTGAAACATCCAGAGTGCTCGCAATTGTAAGGATCAATATATGACTTAGAGTAAAAAATCCATGACTTCTATTGACAGTCTGTTCCAGTTCCTCTGAGTACAGAAACTAGAATCATGAGCAACCTGTGATTAGATGCAGACAATCACAGCTCCCAAAAGCAGTTGCTTATTTTTGTGTCATGCCAGTTCAGTATAAATATTGGAAGATTATACAGAACTATGATGATTTCACCCTTTGTTTACAAAAAATATCACGTCCTTTTTATTTGCAATACAAATCTGGAAGCAAGCAAGCAGAGATGTGCAAAATGAAAATTGCTTGTGGCTCTTAAATTTTACCAAGTTGTCTCTAATTCTGGTAATATGCCTCCAGTTCTTTTATCAGAAACTCCCACTTTGACACAAGAATATGCTCTCATAGAATATGAAATCACATTCCCCGAGCAGGTTCCCAGCATAGCACATTTTGCCAGCCTGCATACCCCAAAACTTTCCCATGCCTTCCCTTCCTATGCTCTCCTGCCTTCCCTCAACTGCTGCTGCCAACGTCCTTGACTTTCTTCTGTTTTCTACTTTCCCTGACCCAATTCTGTACAGTGATTCCTCGGTTCACGAACGCTTCTGTTAACAAACAATTCGATTTGCGAACAGCAGTGTTCGCAAGATTTTGCTTCCATTCGTGAACTCTGCATCGGGTGACGAACAAGACCCGCGGCCATCTTCCCTGCTCTGACACGTGGTCGTGGCTTCCTCTAGGTGAGATTGCGGTCGCAGACAGACACTTGCTGTGAAGCTTTTTGGTGTCACCTTAAGCAAGGTTAGTGTTCTCTCTCTTCATACTGTACTGTACTGTACTTTGTTTCATATTTTTGTGGTTTAAAAAAAATACATATGGTTCAGAACGGATTAACCTTATTTATATTGAACCTTATGGGAAAATTTGATTCAGCTGGCGACCGATTCAGTTGGCGACCATGTTTGTAGGGGACAGAACGGATTAACCTTATTTATATTGAACCTTATGGGAAAATTTGATTCAGCTGGCGACCGATTCAGTTGGCGACCATGTTTGTAGGGGACAGAACGGATTAACCTTATTTATATTGAACCTTATGGGAAAATTTGATTCAGCTGGCGACCGATTCAGTTGGCGACCATGTTTGTAGGGGACAGAACGGATTAACCTTATTTACCTTGAACCTTATGGGGAAATTTGATTCGGTTCGCGGCCAATTCGGTTTGCGACCAGAACTGTGGAACGAATTAAGTTTGTGAACCGAGGTACCACTGTATTTCAGTCCTGGACTGAAGCGTTGAAACAAACGTATTGCTTTGGGCATGAACCACCCCAAACCAACTGTTCTGTATACAGAACAGCTCAAGCACAGAACACTTTGCATATCCCTAGGGCCCAGTGATCTGAATCAAATAATTTTAATAATTTCTTAAGGAGAAATTCCAAGAAAGAAACTTGGAAGGCATCAAACTGTTCAGGGCCACTAGGCAGCACACAGCTGAACTTTCTGGTAGACCTCCCCCTTCAGATTTAAATGAACCAGGCTGAAGCTGAGCACATTTATCTAGGGAGAAAATTCCACCAAACATACCCAAACAATTGCTAAAGCATAACATGATTTGTTTGCTTTTGGCTTAGTGTGATATAGCAACTAATCTACTATGATTTACTGTCCAAGCCATGTTGGATTGATCAATAAACCATAGTTTTAAAACGACTGATATAGCATTATGTGTGAACGTAACATTGGATAGCTACCTCAACTGTCTTCTGGAGGGACAGGGCTTCTCCATGAAGTAGTTTCAATCCAGTTATTTACCATAAGCTATGCTACCAAACTAACATAGAACACTTCTTGTTAGAAGAAGACTCACAGAGCTTACTTTTAATTTATCTGATTATGTGTTATTTTTTAGTATGTATATGGTTTTTGATTGGTTAGCCTGGGGAGATTGTTTTATCCTATAATGAATATTTATGGTTACTGCTAAACTGCTCTGAGTCTCTAGGATAGGCGGTATACAATTTTTTGTGTAAGTAAAGAACTAAATAAATAACACCTCTCCCCCAATGCACAGAGATGGAAAGTAAATTTAAAAACATGAACACAGAGGTTTCTTTCTCTCCCCTCCTTTTATTTGATATGAAGCATTCCTCCTATTCCATCAAGAATTTATTTTAGCCATACATCAACCACAGTTTTGATTCCTCAGTAGATATGGAAAAGTTAACTTCTTTGATTTTTAGTAAAATAAAACCACCATTAAAAAAAAATCAAACACATTTTGAATTAAAAACAACCCACCCTATCTGGTCCCCTTTCCCCAAGCACTCATCCTGAGTCCAATTCCCAGTACTGGGAAATAAGACAATAAGTTAATAGTTCCTTATGCTTAAGGTTTTCAAGAGAAACACCAAAAATCTTCTTAATGTGAGGTTTTCTTTGATGCTTTCCCAAATTTGGCATCCAGGCCAAGTCCTGCAGAAAAACAAATAGGAAATTAACTGGGGTTGCAAATGATGTTACAGGGGAAAGTGTTGCGGGGGGAGGGGCTTATTTTGATTAAAACAGGATGGATGATCCAGGCTTTTATCTGGGATGATTTGGAAAACACCAAGCTCCTCCTAGCAGACTAGGAGCAGATTTTCAGCTTACAAGAATGTCCCAGAGAAGATGATGTAGATTTAAAAGCATTTCATTTAATAGCTCTCTGTACAAGTAATTATTATCTGTGGGAGTATGAAGCAGATTCTAAATCTGCTGAGCTAAGACAGAATAATTGCTGAACCCTGGCACAACTGCTAAAAGTAGTGTAATGGTGAGAGGGAGAAGAAGCGATAACAGCAAAACACAACCACACAGTGTAAACGTATCTTTAAAGCAAGTTGAAGGTGCACGAGAAGCAAACCAGAACAGCGTTAAAACCAGTCAGGAAAACATGGCTCAGTTTAAAAAGTTGCAACCCTTCGATTATCAACGACTTTACCTGAAGTGTTAGTTCAGACTTTCCCAATCTATGCACTCTCCAGATGTTTAGACTTCAATCTCCAGAATTCCTCAGTCAAAATAACCACTACATAGAATTCTGGGAGCTGAAGTCCACAGTGCCAGAGAGTGTCTAAGTTTCAGCAGGCTCCCTCAGTTCACAGCAGGCCACTCTCAGGTACTCCTAACACCTGCAGTTAAGCAGGCAAAAATCTTCTCTTTGGTCATGCTACCTCAGATAGAAATACGATTTCCAATTCTACTGCCATTTGAGCATCAGCAAAGATTATTCTTTCTGCTTTTTTTAATCACCGAAGTTTTCCAGCATATTAAACGGGTTTAGCATAGCCTTTGCTGTACCTGAACCAGTGGAGTGGATTTGGTGGAGTGCAAGTTAATGAGGAGAATGGCATATAGGGAAAAGTGTATATCATGGTAGGCTGCCTAAGGACCCTGTAAACAGATTTAAATAAAACTAAAATAAAACCCCTACACATAGGGAGGTGAGAAACCCAATGAAATAACTAATCAGACTGCTATCCTGTAGGAAATCATACACAGATGTACAGTGGGCTGGATAATTTTTGCAAGGAACTGAGGTTGACGTTTCCCAAATAAATTAAAGACAAAGGATGCTGGACTCTTACCAAGGAATACCAGGGTGGTGCCCACCCACTGCAAGTTGGTGATAGGATTGGCAAATAGGATGACTGATGCCAAAATGGTGAAGAACTTGCGAGTCGTGGTGACAATAGAGCAGGTCAGAGGCCCAAAATAGACCACAGTCATGAAAATGAAACTCTGCAATAAAGATGGGGAAAAAATGTACAGGCTTGAACATGAGAAATATGACTTACATTACTCTGATCTTGTAACCTCCCTGTGAAGACATCCTCCCTCCAACTGTTTACTACAGATACCTCTTTGTGTTGCTGAACTTGCACAAGACCAGTTATAACTATGGGATATGCTGCCCTTTCTCCCATTCTGAGATGTTTAAAAGAGAAGTTACAAACAATCCTGGAATATAGGGTAATCAACCTTTGTTCCCTCGATCACAGGAATTAGGCAGAGGGTCTTTTTCAACCACAGTGTCCTTTGTGTTGCCCTCGATAAATACAAAGGAATACAAAAGCAGGGTCACTTCTCTTTTTAGCACCAAAGGCAAAGCACAGAAGAAAAGCAGTACTTCAGATCTTCTGAACTCGTCGTGCAACAAAAACATGCAACCTTGAAGACAGCATAGAAGGAAGAAGGCAAGACAAAAAAAGAAAGAAAACCCATTTCAAGCGAACAGATTGAGGTGAGGTTTATAAGAGTAACAGCACTACTATTGTGTAACTGGAGCTTTAAAAATCATTTCAAATAATAAGCAAATAGCCTTCGGTACTTCTGTAGTAAGGCTTGCTTGAATCGTGTATTATTCCTGTACTTTATTTTATATGTCATTTTAAGCCTTAATAAACCATTCTGTGAATTAGGGTACTCTTAAATTAGCCAAACATGAAGAGGAGAATTTTGGGAAACACCCAAAGCAGGAATTAAGGTCATCCAAATAAACTAAGATTTGTGAGCTGACAATAAACCCTGGTTTGAAGCTGATGATTCTGGCTTGTTTGGGCTTACATAATCATAATTCTGCATTCAAATAGCAGGCAAAAAGATCCCTCCTGGCTTCACTGTCCACTTTTGGAAGGGATAAGTGCAACATTCTACTCTGATAGCATTCTCATGAACAAGCCTTTTGGGGGTCAGGATACTTGAAGAAATAGCTGGTATTCTCCCTTGTAACATATTACTGTGTAGCACATATAGCATTTACACCACTGGTACAGCATAGCGTGGACAGCTAAAGCACAACACTGGCTAACAGAAAAAAATAGTTGCTCACCTGACCTAGAGCACTGGTTAGACCAAAGAGAAGGATATTATAGATGATGGTAGGATAACGCTCAGTGAAACTCAAGAATTCCCAAAGCTCACCTGTAAACAAAATACCTAGAGGAAAAGAAAATATTTAGGAGAAAACAATAGAATAGAGACTTCTTTTCCTGCCTTGACCATCCTGTGACCAATGCTATCTGGCTCCTAAACCATATTCCTTTTAACTGAACATGTTCTACTTAAAAGTAGTGAAACTCAGGGTAATGCACTTCTTAGCTTTCCCCTTGGTTTGGGAGATTTAAGAATTAAAAGGGGTTGAGTGAGTTGGGAAAGAATAATAAGTATAAATCAAATCAACTATGGAGTAATGTCAGAACTGGTCAAACATTCATTGGGGTCAACATCCATTCATCCATACGCCCCCCTCCCATTCCCAAAAACTCTGAGTGTCTATCAGAAACATCACAAAAAGGCCCCTCTAAGAAAAAAATAAGCTCACTTGAAAGAAATAATTTAAAAAATGTAACAACATTGTAAGGGACAAAACATACAAAGCCATGTGTCCACCAATACATCCCAGCATTCATAACATGCCTTCCTCCTGGTCTACATAGGAAAGCCAACTCTTAATTGCTCTCCTGAAACCCAGGAGGGAACAGGTAGACCAGATTTCTGCAGGGAAGTGATAGAAAATGCCCATTTCCTAGGTCCTGTCCAAATGGCATTCTCAGATAGACTGGGCCTGGAGGGAGTTGACCCTGTTTGACCTGACTGGATAGCAGATCAATATGGGAGATGGTGGTCCCTCAGACAAGCAGGCTGAAAACCATTAAGGGCCTTAAATGTAACAACTAGCATCTTGAAAACACCTGGAAGCCAACTGGTAACCAATACATCTCCCATAGTAAAAGAAAGAGAAAGGCTCTTTTTGTCTAAAACAAGTTTCCTAGAGAGATGGGGAACCTGGAGTCTTCTAGATGGGTTGACTAGATGATCCTAATCATTCCCAGCCAGTCAATGGCTAGGGATGATGGAAGATGTAGCTCACCAATTTTGAAGGTAGTAAATGAGGGAGGCTATGTTGCTCTCAGGAGGTGGAACAGCTTGATAGTTTGGTGCTGCAAAAAAAGTTTGTTTTTTTTTTACAGAGCTGGACTGGCTGGACCTTATATTCAGCTATGCACACTTCTTGTTGCAGAACCCTGCCTAGGTCAGAATGGCTGGCTGACCATACTGCGCTGGATCATTGGGGCATTATTTCTGCATGTTCTTTTAGTCAACTCAAAAGCTGATTGGTACCTTGCTTCCTGGACACGCTAGCTTAGAGAGGACCAGTCGATCAGCACACAAGCCTCTTTTACAGCTTCTGCTGAATTGCACTCCACACTATTTCTGTAAATGCCACCTTGATTTAAAAGAGGGGAACAACTGCTCTCCAAATTACTTTGGCTGCAAGGGCTGCTCCTTTTCATTAATTATCCAATCCTTTCTCCTAAGGTAGTCTCTCTGGAGAGGATCTAACCATCACACATAAAAATAAAGAGTATGGCTTAACCCTTTGCAGCCAAAGGAAATCAGAAACATGTCTATATTCCTGGAACAAGGGAGACACCAAATGGAGGAGCAAAGCATTACTGCCAACCTGCAGCATGACTCCCACCTAGACCAAACTGTGGCCAGGAACAGCCTTTTGGAGAGAGGGGGGTGCCAGGTGGCTGCTGCAGGAGCAACAACAGCAGCACCACTGCTTGCCCATCGGGAGACATGCAGAGCTACCACATTTCTGAAACAAGAGAAGATTGGGTGAGGTTTGAACTGTGATATTAAAGCAAAATAGGGACACATGCAAGCTCTACTGGGGTAGTATCACTATGGTAGATTTTAAAGAAGCTCCCTAAGTAATCGAGTATTACACAATGCAATATTTACCCTAATCCAATTAACAGCAAGCTGTGTGTGGAAACAACTTTCATCAGGTGAATATACTGTGCCATAAAACCTATATGAAGAGGGAAGGAGATACTATCTACCGATGAGGTAACTACCTCAAGCTTTACAACACAAGGATTCCTACATGCCTCAAAAGTTTTGTGCTTGAGTTTGTACCCTTCAAACACACAGTAATGTCAGGTTCGGTCAGCACGGGGCTTCGGGGAAGCTCGTAGCCAGCGAACTCCACCGGC